GTCCTATCTTTCCCTTTAGCAAAATATGAAATGGTCTCAAATTGATTCCAAATGATTTCAGTTGCTGATCTATGCTAACTAGAAAGTAGTCGGATTAGCTAAGTGACACGTTTAAAAAGTACAGGTTTTAATTACTGATTTAGGAAAGAAGTAAACACAATTGGATTCACAGTTGAGTCAATGTACCAAAAGGATAATTTGGAAGTGAAACCAACAGAAACCATCTTTTCATACACTTACATTTATTTGTTTGTTTATGTCTTTGTCTGTGTGTATGTGTTTCTTTTAAGTTTCATTTTCCTTTCATACTGAGTATTAGTTGTAGATAATCTGCCTGGATTATTAATCTTTTTTAAGTTTCTTTTTTCCGTTTTAATTCTTCTAAATTGCTGCTTATTCACATCCTTATTTTCTGTGCCCCTCCAGCTTAATGGACATGATATTGATCTCTCTTTGAAGGGTACCCCTCATTGGCTGGCACCAGAGGTAGTGTGGACAAGTAACTGTTCAAGTTTTAAATTCCTTGCTTTCCAGTTTGATTTTACTGTTAATCTGAGTGAATGAGCTTTGGTCGATACAAAAACGAATTGAGCTCGAGTAATGTGATAATTTATTTCAAACATTTTCTTTGTCCCTAACGAACCAAACTGAACTCAACTGAAGTTTTCATCACACCTTATCGAATTGAATAATACAATATTGTTTTAAAGTTTGGTTTAATTTTAGTTTCGGTTGGCAGGTCTTGCATGCTATGATGCGAAAAGACGCAAACCCTGAGCTAGCCTACGGTGTTGACATATGGAGCGTTGGTTGTACGGTTATTGAGATGCTCACAGGAAAACCTCCTTGGAGTGAGCTTTCTTGGGTAAGCCATACATACTCTTGCAATTTTTACTCTTGGGATTATTTGGCAATCTCTTCTTTTAACTTCTACATGTAGCAATATTAGTCCTCAATGATTTTACGGTCTAGTTAAAAGAAAAACAACAATTTAGATCCTATAACTTCCAATGAATGCATGTATGAAGATTTTAGCACTTAAATGTGAAGCATAAAAATTGTCGAACAGATCAAATTTGTGCAATTTTGGAACTTGCATTATAAGATTTCACACTCTAGAACTGGGGACTGTGACTGTAATTGATCTGTTATTTATTTTTTTATATTGTTTTTCTTTTTTAATTCTAATTAGGTGCAAGCAATGTTTAGTGTATTGAACAAATCACCGCCCATCCCTGAAAAACTGTCAGCTGAAGGGAAGGATTTTCTTCAACGGTGCTTTCAAAGACGACCTGAAGATCGACCCTCGGCAGCTAAGCTGCTCGATCATCCTTTTGTATGCAGTTCACGTGATCAAACTCATGCTGGTTTGGTGCTAGGATTTTCTGGAATTAGATTACATGTGAGTTTCTTTGGGAACAAAATCAGTCTTAATCATACCCATGCAGGAACTTGACAGAGATGGAATCATAGTATGTCCTAATTCGTAATTCGATTTTGCTCGAATAAGGAAATAATTAAGAAAAAAAATATTATTTCAGGATGTAGAGAGTTCAAGCGACTGGACACAGCGGAATAAGGATGTGATGCCAAGTTCACCAGTCACAAAGATACAAGGAGGAAAATTGCCACTACTCAATGGGTGAGTTTTTTATGTCCTAATATCCGATTTTCAATGGTATTTGACTGAGACAATAAATCCATTTTTCTTTATTTCTTTTTTTTTTTTCATTTTAATCATTCAACTCTTCCCATCATTTTTTCATTTTAGGAAAAAAATTTCTCGCTTTGCATGGTGTGAAACCTTCAAATTATAGATTGTCAGCTAAAAACTGATACCTCAGGTTGCAAAGTGGGGAGAAAAAAAAAGCACAAATCAGGTTGCAATATAATAAACTAATTTTTGGAATCCAGCGAAACTAGTCGACAAGAAAGCTTGGGCCCGGGTCCCACTTCCCACAACTCAGAAAGCCCTTCAAATGTGGATAAGAATTTGTTGTTAAGAGCTGTAAACACCAGTGTGTACACTTTTTCGTGCAAGGGAAATCTCACTCTACTGATGCCGAAAATGACGGAAACGAAGAAACAGAGCTCAAACGCGCAATGAGAAATAAATTAATGCAACACCTTTCTGGGTTGGCATTATATATTCTGATGATGCAGTGTCAGTGTCACCACAAGACAACAAACAACAACAACAATGTGTTGTTTGATGACTTGTTGGCACTTTGGATAGCGCCTAGAACACAAATGTTGTAGTCCCTCTACTACTATGGATATCTTTGTATTGTATATATGTGGGAGAAAATCAAGGGATGTGGAAACAATTCTTTGTAGTGTAATTTAGTAGTAGAATGCACATATTTAGTAGCGTTATTGGAATATATTTAGTATTGTTGTATGTGTTACTCGGCCAAGCTATTCTTAGTATTGTATGTGTTACTTCTGGTAGTGGTATTGGAATGTATTTAGCAGGGAAAAAAAGTACAAAAAAAAAAAAAAANCAAAAAAAAAAAAAAAGAATGGGTGTAAATTGTGGTGAATAATCAATCAATCAACAAGCCATTAAAATCTTACTAAGTGGGGTCGATTATATGGATCACATGTTGCCATCGTACTCAATCAAGGCACATATCCTCGAGTCCTTATTGGGTAGTACATGTAAGCATCGAATTTCATAAAAGAATATGGATGCAAAAGAATATTTATTTTTCGGAAAGTGTAAAACTTTAGGTTGCTCAAATATAAATCAATTTGAGTTATATTAGATTTGTTGGTTAATCAGAGTTAATTTTGAAAAAGATTTTTTGGTCATATTTTGAGATTTTAAGTTACAAGTGTACTCTTTTAGAACTTTATTTTTATTCATTTAGAACCTTATTTTTTATTTTTTTTAAGAATTCTTGTGTATTTAATTGAGATTTACAAAAAACAAATAAAAATGTCATGAGATATTCAATTGAAATTTCAAAAGTTTTAAAAACTAATGAGATACTCAATTTATTTACCAAAAATACTTTTTTTAGAGTGTTTAAGATTGTGATTTTAAAAATAAATTATGTATATCAAATCCATCATGATTCCTACCTACATTTCAAAAGTATCCATTAAATTTTTTGAAAAAAAAAAAAAAATTTTTTGTAAATGTAAAATATTGCTCAAAATATCAAATGAATACGTTAAATAAAGAATAGGAGGGAATCTTTTCATTTGTTGTGATCAAAGTGCAAATGTTCTGAAACTGGAAAAGGCAAAAAGAAAAGAAAACCTGAAAAGCCCTCAAAGCTTCATCTTCCATGTAGAAGAACCAGACATCACAACCTAATAAATTCACTCTGTGAATTGCTTGTGTGCATTTGTAGCGAAATCCATAGACCTTTGCTGTTGTACCCACATTTCACAATGCCACGCCGCAGAACTTGAACTGCTGTAGTGCTTCACCCTCTTCTCCAAATATAGTCCAACAGAATAATTTACGTTGAACAATGGCTCCCCAGAACCTTGATGCTGCCCTTCAAGTGTTTGATATGTGGCCTCAACAAGTTTTCCTTTTCTTGCCATTTCTTTAGTTCCCCCTCTCTTTACTTTATCCCTTCTTTTCATGAGTGGTTGCTTTAGTTGATCTGTAGGAGATGGAGGTTTGTTCAAAAACTCTCTCTCTCTCTCTCTCTCTCTCTCTCTCTCTCTCTCTCTCNCCGTTTTCAAAGACGGTCGGCCGCGATCGCCGACTAACCGACCGACGTCCGTCTCGCCCGACTTTAACCGGTGGCCAGCCGCCGGTCGATATTTTCGCACGGTAGCCTGACCGTGCGGTTTCGCCGGCTGACCGCCGGCAAATTTGGATTTTGTTTCGTTTTTTTTTTTTTTTTTAATAATTGAAATTATTTAATTATGTGTTAATATTTAAAAATTGAATTGACTTAATTTTTTAATTTAGGTTAATTTAGATAAATTTTAGTTTAGTAGTTATTACTAATATGTTTCTTATAGATAATATGTTATATATATTAGTTAAATGTAGCTATATTAAAATTATGATAATAATACTTTTTAGTAATACTAATTATTTACAGGATAATGCATATAACTTTAGTATTTTTTGGAAATGAATTAGTTGCAATATATGTAATAAAATGGTTTGTTGAGTAATTATTAGTTTCAAAAATTTTAATCTATATTTATTGAAAGAGGATGGTCAATAAATTATTTGTGAAAAGTTCATAAAAAAATTGAGTCAACCCATTTGACTTACTACTTATGGAAATTGTTTAAAAAATCTGAAATTCTGTTTGTTTAAAAAATCTGAAATTCTATTCATTTTAAAAAATTCAAAATCATTCCATAGTTTGCTTAAAATTTGTTCACGCGTTCTCAAGAATCCTAATTCCATATTTTGAACAAAAAATTATTCACGCGTTTTGAAGGATCCTAATATTGTTACGGCTTTGAAAATTTTAATATACATCTTATCCCAAATTTAATATACATAATTTTTCTGAATTTTCTCACTTTGCATGGTGTGAAACCTTCAAAATATAGATTTTCCGCTACAAACTGATAACTCATGTTGCAAAGTGGAAAAAAGAATGCACAAATTCATGTTGCAATATAATAAACTCATTTTTGGAATCCAGCGAAACTAGTCGACAAGAAAGCTTGGGCCCGGGTCCCACTTCCCACAACTCAGCAGTTGAAGCCCTCCCTCAGGTCTGTTCAAACACTGTGAGCCTGCAAATATGGATAAGAATTTGTTGTTAAGAGTTGTGAACAACAATGTGTACACTTTTTCGTGCAAGGAAAATCTCACTCTACTATACCAAAAATGACAGAAAGGAAGAAACAGAGCTCAAACGCGCAATGAGAAATAAATTAATGTACCACCTCTCTGGGATGGCATTATGTATTATGATGATGCAGAGTCAGTGTCACCACAAGGCAACAAAGGACAACGACAATGTGTTGTTTGGTGACTTGTTGGCACTTTGGACAGCGCCTAGAACACAAAGGTTGTAGTCCCTCTACTACTCTTGATAGGATATCTATATATATGTGGGAGAAAATTAAAGGATGTGGAAACAATTCTTTGTAGTGTAATTTAGTAGTAGAATGCACATATTTAGTAGCGTTGTTGGAATATATTTAGTACTGTCGTAGGTGTTACTGGGCCAAGCTATTCGTACTGTTGTATGTGTTACTTCTGGTAGCGTTATTGGTAAGAAAAATAAATACCAAAAAAAAAGAAGAAAAAAAGTGGATCTCTAGAAGTGACAACAATTCAATTCCTTATTGGGTAGCACATGTAAGCATCCAATTTCATAAAAGAATATATGGATGCAAAAGAATATTTCTTTTTGGAAAGTGTAAAACCTGTAGGTTGCTTGGATATATATCAATTTGAGTTTTATTGAATTTATTGGTTAACTAAAGTTAGTTTTGAAAAAGTTGTTTGATTTCATTTTGAGATTTTAAGTTACAAGGTGTATTCTTTTAGAACTTTATTTTTATTCATTTTGAACTTTATTTTTTAATTTTTTTTTAAAGAATTCTCGTGTATTCAATTGAGATTTACAAAATGTATATAAAAATGGCATGAGATAGTCAATTGAAATTTAAAAAGTTTTAAAAACTAATGAGATGCTCAATTTATTGGAGAAGGCTACCATCCCGTCACGGGATCATTCCGTGACGGGAAGGTAGCTTTTTTACCAATTTATTAACCAAAAACACTTTTTTTAGAGTTTTTAAGATTGTAATTTTAACAATAAATACGTATATTAAATCCATCATAATCCTACCTTTAGGGTAAGTAAGTTTGGTTGCACTTTTTGATTGGGCTTGATGTAATATATTGGGTTTGGGCCCTGTTTTATGGGTGATAGTATCCATACGTTAAAGCTGTTTGGTTTCATTTTTGGGCAACTTGATACAAGCCTAATAAAACTAATAATTTGTTTGGTTCACATTTTAGTCAGCCAAATACAAGCCTCATTTTTTAGTTTTTACGCATTTGACACTAAGCAAGACAATTTCACACCCAACGGAGGAAGAAAACGATTTAACACCAAGCCAAATTGATTTCACAAAAATTTCAACCAGACAATCTTCCGCTCTGCTAAGAAGATGATTTCCACTTTTTGAGAATCGGCGCACCCAGAGGACGATTTCCACTTTTTGAGTATCGGCGCACCCAACGAAGAAATCAATTTCTTGTCACAGCACTCAAAAATCGATTCTTGCGGGCTTCTTCAGGTTCGTTAATTTCCTTTTGGTTAAATCGAAAACATTTCTTGCGAAATTATAATTAAATCATTGTGTTAATTTAAGGTTTCAATTCCTTAATTTGTTCACTGAGTTTAATTATTGGGGAGATTAACCTAAATTAGGGTTCCTCTCACTTGAGATCGACATTCCCAATTTCCAATCCCTGCATTTTTTAAAGGTGCATCTTTGATTCAAAAGAAAACATAAGAGTGTGTAAACATGATACAAATTTACTCATTATATTGATTAATAGGTCTTAAATTGGATTCTGTTTATCTGCTCCATTAGTTAATTAACTTGTATTGTCTCACAGAACATTACAAATAAGATGGCTATGGGTAAATATGCAAAAATTAACTTGAAGGTTATATGAATAATTTCAGAAAAATGGCTTGTTTCTGTATATAGTTAGACTAAACATTAAGAACAACTTTTATAAATACAATAAATTACATAATAAAATCGAAGGAGAATTGAAATGTTCAGGAGGGACTTAATTTGCATAAGTGTCATTACAAAGATGAATTGTTTGAATGTGCACAGGGAATGGAAGACGTGAAGTCTGTTAGATATTCAAATTGTATGATGAAAACTTCATTGAGGTTTATGTTGGTTTTTCATTTGTTGAGGTTTATGCCGGTTTTTCATTTGTTTGGTTTCGAGGAGTTTATGAATAATTTAATATGATGTCCAGACTGTTTGTTGGGTGTGAACTTTTTTAGCTTTGGATGTTTGATTGCTTTATGACCTGCTTATCAAATGCCTTATTAAAGGTAACATATTTTGTTGAGATCGTCACATTCCAGTCTTCCTACAATAATTAGTGAATATAACTAAACTTGAGGATATAAATTGACGATGTCTATATAGTCTCATATTTACACCAAAGTCAATAACTAAAGAAAAGGAGAAAGAAAGATCCTTCTGAAATGGCTTCAAGCATAGGCTCTTGGCAAAATAGATTTGCATTTACACTAATGTCTTATATCCTTAACAAAGCTTAAGCCAATTCATAATCACATTGGTCATGGCATTTGTATTTGGTGCATGCAATAAATGTGATTAAATTTTAGATTTGTCGTGATCCAAAGGTCTCATTACAAATAATAGTTATTTTGCATGTAAGTTCCTCGTTGAATAACTTGAACATGTTGCTCATAATATCCATGTAAGTTCCATTACGACATTTGATACCTATTTGTGGGTTATCTCTAGGCACTTGATTGAAAAGTTAAGAAAAAAAATATTTCATCCCAATGGTACAACAAAAAGTCATCTATTTCCGGTGCAAATACAATTTGTTTATGGAGTGGAAACAAATTCCGGGCGTATATCACAATGTAAAGACTAACAGAGTCTTTGTCGATGGTGTGTATTGGCAATCAAAGGTAAAATGTAAATTGCTTTTGCATGTTTTCTTCCGTTTGAGTAAATGCAGGTTTTTTGATTTTGTTTTAATTCAACTATTGTATCTTTTCAGGAAACTAATGAATGGATGTTCTTCAGAACATATGGCATGAAACATTTTCAAACGGCAGAGTTATTGTTCAAGACAATGAATGCAACTCCTATTGAGTTTAGTGGTTTAGTAAGAAAGAGATGAATTAGTATAGACAATAATTTGTCATTTTGTTTTGCCTACGGCTTCAAGTGTTGTATTGAAGTGTAATAGGTTTGAAGCCTGAACTTATGTACTTATGTCACTGTGGGTTGCAACAACAATTCTATTTTGTAATTTGAATTGTTCTGAATTGGTTTTTTTGGAATGTGAATTGGTTTTTCAGTTTTTCTACATTGAATACAAATGTTGGGATTTGGTTTATGTTTGAAAAAACAGGGAATAATATGAAATATTGATTGATAACTTCGTTTGTATTTTGCATTTGGTTTTGGAGATACAAGGAATATATTGATCAGTTAAATGATATTGAGCTCCTGAATATGTTTGGTGTGCTGAAATAGTATTGAAATCATGATTGTGATTGGTGTTGAAATGATATTGAACTCATGCATTTGCTTGGTGTTGAACTCATGAATCTGTTTGATGTGTTGCAATGATATTGAACTCATGGAGCAGCAACATTTAACAAGAAAGCAAATACATTACAGCTATAAAATACAAGAAATGCAACTACACAAATACAAGAAAAACAAACACATTATAGAAACATCTACAGAGGACACAACAAACACATGACATACCTTAACCAATCATAAACCATCAATTTAAGAAACCATTAAATCAAAAGGAATTGTCAGAACGAGAAATACAGACAATGAAAAAGCCAAATCCAAACTCCAAAAGCAGAAACCAGTTCAATAATAAGTCAACTTACAAAAGATACTATTAAACTTACAAGTTAATGAAAACCAACAACCTAACATTGAACCATCAATAAGAACATTAAGACGAGTAATAATACGTTGTTCATGCGAGCCACAAAGATAAATGACGGCCACCTTTAGTCAATACTTACCATCCTTAAAATATCATACAACACTTATCAAGCACAACAGGACAATGAAAACATGAATCTTACTCCCAGGACTTCTTCTACAATTTTTCGAAGCTAATAGATCGAGAAGCTCGGCATTAGAGATTTTACGCTCTTTAATTTTTTTCCCTTTTTGTCCAACTTTTCAGTTAAATCTTCCAGCATCGCATCCTTCTTTTTAACTTCTTCTCTAACATTAATTTAGCAGATCTTAGGTTTATGTAGCAGGACTTTTGAAAAAGAGGCATCTCGTCGTCGAGCCACTCAAAAAAGTGGCAATCTTCCGTCTGCAATAAAAGGAAGGAGATCGAGTTATAAAGTAATTTTCAAACGAACAACTCTCTGTATATCACAAGTCATTAAACTCAATTGTATGCTCTAAATCAAAGTCATTAAATACTACAACCTGAATTTGTAAAGCAAAGCAAAAATTAAAATCCTGACACTAGGACACCCTTGGTTTGGGACTACTCAAATATCACATACATACTGTAAGGTATCTCAACAAAGGACAGAAAAGTAACCTCTATTAATAGTATGCTGATATCCTAGCTGAGACAAGTAAAATATATATGTCAATCATATATGTTGGTAGCCTAACTGAGAAAAATTAACCTGTGTTAATGTTGATAGCATTAACATCACATTTTTTTTTGCTTCCTTTTGTTAATTATTAATTAAAGCAGTAGCAATGCATCAAATTTGAGTGCAACCGAGATGTACTTTGTTTGGGATTATTGAAAGAGCACATACAAGTCATTATTTACCTTGCAAAATTTGCATCTATGGTACCTCGTACACAGGTTTTTTTTCGTGTTCGACGTTAAGAACTGAGCCTCCTTGTTGTGGAAACACCTTCTTACATGAGCTTCATTTTTCTCAAAGTTATGAGCTGGTTTTTCCGACGAACTCTTTCTTCCACTATCTCGAGACATTGTATTCACCAAAAATAATTGTGTGGGATGGAGAGCACGAAATCTTATTTGTTGGTTAAGGAAGAGTAGTGTTTTACCCGTTGGTACATGAACAAAAACACCATCAGTTTGTCTGATAGCATTTTATGGGAAAAAAGAATATATTCCTTTATAAAGTAATTTGGACATATAGCTTGTTATTGTATATAGGATATATTCATATTCTCTTACATATTCCTTTCAGTCAGTCACATTTCATTCAAAGGAATAAGAATATTTTGCAATTGGATTTTTCAAATTCAAGTAAAAGGAATATATTCCCTACAAACCAAAAAAAAAAAAACTGAAGGAAACTGTAAGGTTTTGTTTTTTACGTGCATGAGAAATGTCTTCACTATGCAATAGAACTATTATATAAACATGTTAAAACCATGCATTTTGAAGAAGCAACAAAAGAACATAAGACTGTAGAATACAAAACACTAGTTTTCTTAACCAAACAGGTTGTAGTTCAATGGCTCCAAAACACAACTTGAAATCTGCCATTTCACAAAGTAAGGTTTTTTACTCTGGGGAATGGACTAGGGAAATTGAAACAAGGTTTGTCAAAGAGTTGGTTGAGCAAGCGGTTGCGGGAAATTTCGAGGTGGGTCATCCAAACAATCACCTTATACTGAGTGCACAGGGAGTTGTCAACGCTTAATTTGGTAAGAACTTCGATTTTGAATATTGCAAAGGAAAGGTACATAACCTCCATAAACGCTATAAAGTTTTTACATGGTTGATACAACAAAACTGTGTTGTGTCACACCTATAAACAATAAAGTTGATGCGGGCCAATTTACCTGGGAGTATCTCATTCGAGTAAGTTTATTTCTTATTTTTTTGGCATGAAATATTAGCCTGCTTGTTCATTTAAGTTCATTCGAGTAGTGCTTTTTAATATCGTAGAACGAAAAGCTAGCGATGGCCTACATAAAGGAGGGAGAATCTGCTCTCGAAGGGATGGAAATTTTGTTCGGAGGTGCTACCATGAACGCGTGTGGGCAGCCAAATGAAGTGATTGACCTTACTGACGATGAAGATGAAGGAGACAATGACGTACCATGATGAAGGGACAATGTCGATGAAGATGGAGACAACGACGAAGACAGTAATCCCCATCTGTCTATTGAAAATGAGTTTAACAACACAAATAATTGTTTCCATTATAACCTTGCTTGGTATAACTCTGAATCCACAAGTGTTTCCTCTCTTCTGGACCCAGAAAAACCACCGACCACCTTACCTTCCACTTCCGTTGTTTTGATCAAGTTCAAAAAGCATTGGGCCTCGCACGATTGGGACAACAACAATGACGAAATTTATGATATTCCAAGCAGTTCCACTGCATCTTCGTTGTCTCCGTACAAAAAATAGGCGTCTTAGATCGACACAAAAAAAGACAATGTCTTAACTAGGTGGGTCCAAGTTTGTTTAAGACTTAGTATTGTTCATTAGTAGTTGTCAATCTAATAATCTACCATGGCCAACGGCTCATGTGAATGCAAAGGATGGTAGGAAATAAGTATGTAGTTTGTTAAGCTTTTCGATTTTCTGTATCGTGTAGGTTCGTCTCTTTTTAATGAAAAAATCTCGCCGTTTTTACTTGATCAATTGTCGCCTACATATTTTACTGTGGCCTTTTATTACCCACAAGTTATAAGGTGTTGTAGTCTATAATTTGATTGTATGTATGTGAGACATTTTGCCTTTTGAGTGAACAATTTATCTGTTAACAGAGCTTGGAGAAATTAAATTAACCTTGTGCCTTTTATCAAACCTAAGTCTTGGATCTTTCTATTAACAAAATTTCAGGCACACTGCCAAAATGTATAACCAACTTCTATGACATCAAAAGACTTTTGGTTCGATGACCTTGATTATTTT